CACAACTAACACTAATGGTTCCCCTATCATACTTATTGTCAGACTAACCTCGCTTTCTGCTGTGTCGTAGTTTCATTTTCACTACATCAATTTATCATGAATTTGCAGAGAGGCGGAGTTACGGCACTCCACGGCGAGACACGGGAACGAGGCAGTGCTTCACTTATTTGCCACAGCTTTTCGCAGTAGTGACACCTGCACTTACGACCCCATCCCATGTACTACCCGCATGCAACATACGACCCCTTCGTCGCGCGTTCCGCGGAGCACTGACCCTGACTCCTCACCCCTGCCCTTCCCTTCACGTTTGCACTTGATAGACATTTGACTGCAGGAAAACAACCACCATTAAGCCACGCAATATAACAACCAGAAAGAGTCCACGTTTGACTCTGAGGGAGTGCAATCACATCTACCTAGCAAAGGGTCTGGAGTAAAAGCGCCAGTGATTAAGCCAATTAAAAACAAGCTTGAAACAAAATTGAATCTTCACTATCTCCTTCGGCACAATCACAGCCATCTTATTTGCCTTTGCTTAATTACGATTAGCGAAGTATCCACACCCGTAAACATGAATCAGACGTGGATACGGTAGCGGCAATGAGTACGCAATTGCACGGCGTGATTGGTGGTATTTATAAATAACATCTGCTGTCTAAACGAAGCCGAGGTAACCTCTTTGAATAACTTTCCCGCGCGCACCTGTTTGAATCGGCGCCGAGGTGCCGGGGAAGGGAATTCTGTGCAGGACCAACCGTGGGAAACAAATTTTCGGCAAGTAGGGTGTCTTTGAAGGACCATAACTTCCTCAAAAGCAGACCTATGGGAAGGGGAAAGCGTATTCGTGTAGAGGAAGGTTTGATCTTCCTAAAAAGTGCTAAAATCTTCATGAAGGTCGCAAAAATCACAGAGAAATTGCCTTGGGGATTCGTTGGGGATTTTTTTTGGAAACAGGTTTGAATCAATATTTTTTTTGTAACTCAATATTTCACAAATCTGAGAACGGATTCGAGTGTATGAAGACTTGCTCTTTCTAAAAACCTATTGAACTGTTTTGGAAGTCCTCGGGATTCATGAGATCTGGCGTTGGGGATTTGTTGGGGAGTACTACGAGCTCGTGAAAAACCCGTTTCCTGTGTACCGTTTCAAGTGAACGTGTTCGAATAACCAGGAACGCATGTAGAACGTATCCTGTGGTGGAGCAGGAGCAGAATATGGTTCGTTCAGAGCTGATCACGCCAACTCTGGATGCGTGCGCCGCACTCGAGGTCCCGCGCAGATCGGATGGGAATGGTGCAACTTGTGCACTAAAATGATTGTCCACGCGCGCAATGTAGGACCTCAGGGAGGTCGACATCGGCGAACCCCTGGCAGCTTTGTCTACAGTGTTTTCCCTTCGTGATGAGTAGCGTGTTTCTTGTCGACGAACGTAGCCATATGTAACATTCACTCCGCGAGAACTCTAGAGCTCAACGAGTAAGTTTGCTCCGAATTCGCGATAATAGGATACCAAGTGCTTGGAAATAATACGTCCTGTACCCCGAATGGTAGTCCCTGTCGTTTGTCAGAAAAAAAAAACAGGTTGGCTCAGCGCCAAGCGTGATCGCGGACACGCCCCATCATCCGCAGCAAACCAGAGTATGAGTTGTAGTGTTTAATCACTTACGAGATGTTGTCGACTTATTAATAATTCCAATTATTTCGGATTAGTTTGATGGATGAAAGTTTTGTACTCATTTTTTACGTAATAGTCCATGGAGAATTCAGACATTTCACGAAGGAACCAAGTCACAAGATGTCCGCCAAAGCCAATCAACAAAAGCATCATAATACGCACGAGGAATCATTGTACTCACACTGACATCTTTTGCGCTGCTCGAAATACTCGCCGCTACTGGCTACCGTCGCAACAAATCAAAGAGGCCATCACTGGTGTACCAGTCAAAAGATGACGAAAACCAAATGTAAAAGGGAGTCAAAATCCTCGCGAAAAAACTTTCGTTAGCGTATTGGGAGCATTTCATGGACGAAACAATTCCTGAATTCGCACTCCCCTCTCCTCTCCTGGCGCCAAATACCGACATCTTTTGACCGACCGGACGCCCCAACATTCCTACCCTCCCAAGGGCATGGGATTCACCCCGGCTTCTGCTAGAACCCGAATCCTGTGGTACGGGCCGGAGGGCCTGGCCCCCTGGGTGAAAAAAAACAGACCAAGCGACCGAACCCGCACATCCCTCTAACATGACAGGCACCTACCCTGCCTTCGTAGCCGTATCCCGCAAACCCAGAAAGACCTCTATTTTTTAGAGCGGCACGTTCCGTCACCGCCGATGAACTGTTTAAGAGAGGGGGTCTAGGCCTTTCAACTCAATAGTCCGCCGCCTGGCGCCCGTTGACACCGGGCCAGACTATTGCTGCGCGCTGTGGATCAGAGATAATAATGGCTATGGTCAAGCAGGCAACGTCAGAGGCCATGCTGCTTAAAAGTTGAAAAACAGCAAGCAAAACGCAGGGCGCTCAGGTTTTAGGCCCATTTGCGCCCGATAGGCCCATGCCGGCCTCCAGTGACCGTGTCGTTGTGAGACTGCCATTGCGCTCTCGCCCGTCGTTTTCTGGCCTCTCTCGTCTCTTATCAGTGTATCGCCGCCTTTCGCAATTCACAATTGATCTTGACCACCTTACGCTCGTCCGGTGATCATGATCAATTGCAATAAAGAGGGTCTTATTCCGGGCGCTTTTTCGTGCTTCCTTCTTCTTCAATAAGTCAACAAACACACGGCAATTCTATTTTTGAACTGTATTACCTATGAACTGTGGTCGCGGGAATTGCCTTTAAAGGACTGATTGTTTTGCATTGATGAAAAGGAAAGGGTTTCCTGATTTTGTTCATCGAAATAGGACAACTCTATGGGAAGGGCTCCTCTGGACTTGAAAGTATTTTATTTTGTTTTCAGCTAGCTGACATGGTGAACCTTCACTTCCTCAACACCATCCAAGCTCTGCAGCAAGTGAACTCTGCCTTATTATGTCAACTGTACCCGATGTGGGCTCCGATTCTGACTGCGTACCATAGCCAAATTCCTCACCAGTTGAGGTTGTGCTTTCACTTTGACTGCCATACTATTTCCGAAGGTACTTCACTGAGCTTGACTTTTAGGATAAAGCTGGATTCCTGCGAAAATCAGCCGTCACTCTCGCCACCACCGCTCTCTGATTGGTTGAAAAAAGTCCGATACAAGATCTCTCAGGTGGAACTGCAAACGTCCGCAGCGTCTCCCTATTACAACGTGTAGATCTCATACAGAAGATGGTATTACAGTAGTGTTTGTATATACTGTAGGATAGAGGATTGCCAAAAATATGGTGCTATTTATTATGTGCAAGTATGGTTCGTTACGGTGTAGTTGTGCAAAACAACGTTGTGAATAAAAGTGTCTCCAAGGGGAACCTTGTATGAGTAGTTCCTGCAAAGATAACGCCATGCACTTGGCTTCAGTGTGGAAGCTGGGGAAGAATTCATGTGATTAAATTCGTGTTCGCATTTGCGCGCGGGAGGAACTGGCAGCCAAGCCATTTTGTTACCAAATACGCACGCGTCCGCGCTTTTTCGCGTTGGGGCGCGTTTTCATAGAAGCTCCTTATGTGAAGCAACTTGCCTTTGAATGGGTATACCTCCTTGAAAGGAGACTGTTACGAAATAGGAAAACGCAGTAGTGGAGAAAAAGATTAGAGCTTCCCGAAAAGTGCTGAAATTTCATGAAGGCTGCCAAATTTACACAGAAATTGTCCTAGTTCGAACGAAAATAATTTTCTTAAACTCAACTATTTGCGAATCCAAAACAAATGGCGAATATTTGCGAATCCAAAACCAATGTCGAATACTGGAAGATTTCCCCTTCCCAAAAACCACTCAAATTTTTTCTGAAGTTCTCAGGACTCATTAGATAATCGCAATGGGGATTTCTAAGAGTACTCCAAGCTGCTCGAAAAAACCCGTTTTCTGCGTACCGTTTCAAGTGGGCGTATTCGGATATCCAGGAATGCATCTAGAATGCATCCCTTCGTGGAATAGGAACAAGCAGTAGTTGGTCTAGCTCCCATTAGCGTCATTGGATGCGCCATGCTTAGGCTCCCACGCAGAGGTAGTGGGATGGTGCAAGTTCTACGCAATGCCTGTCTACGCGAGCAGATGTGTTTATAGGATTCAGGAGGTCCATGGCCAACCTACGCACTTGTTTACAGTCTTGTCCGTTGCGGATGATGGGCGTGTCCGCCCCATCATCCGCAACGGAGAACGGCAACCGCACGCCGCCAGATCCGTGCTCCACCAATTGCTGAGTCCGATAAAGGAGACCAACTGCTGGAAAACGTCTGATACGAACGATATGGTAGTCCTGTCGTTTGTCGAAAGAAAAAAAACAGGTTGGCTCAGCGCCAAGCGCGGTCGCGCGGACACGCCCATCATCCGCAGCGAACCAGGGTATAAGTTGTACTGTTTAGTCATCTACGTACTTACGAAATGATGTCAACTTATTAATATTTCCAGTTAATTTTGGATTAGTTTAATGAATGAAAGTTTTGTACTATTTTTTTACATATCCGGGTTCTCTACAAAGCAAGTTTCGCTATACAGGACTCAGCACACTGACACCTTTGTGCTGCTTAACGCCCCACTTACTAAGACTCCCCCCCTCGCCCAAGAGCCAAATTTGACCCTCCCCTGTTGGGGAATCCCCAACAACGATGTGCCCTGCTTTCTATTACTTCCAATTTTTTTCCGTAAGTTCTACAAAACCCAAAAATTCTCTAATGACTCGTGCAAAATTGTGCTGCCAAGGGGGAAAAGGAGTCTCGTTCGTCACTCGGAACAAGAAAATCAGGCAAGGTTCGT